TAGGGGTCAAAGGGTTAATTTACCATAACAGTAGGAATAGCTGCGTACCACACAGGATAGTAACACCACAGTTACGCTTGTTAAAAAAATACATGCAAAACTTTTAGCGTGGGGTTATTAACTAGGAGTACTATGATTAATTCTGTAAATAGTACTAAAAGTTTGAAAATAAAATGAAAGTTTATAAAAAGTGAAAAGATGATTTCTCATGGAAACTAGCATGGATAAGCACTCGTGAATTTAACAGACTGTAAACACTCTATTGTATTGACTATCTGAAAATTTACGAGGAATGGAGCAACGAGATCAACGAAATGCCTCCTAACTGAGAAATTCACCTTCAAATTCAGCCCTCAGACATTGTTTGGTATTTTTCATGAAACTCTCCAGTAAAATCCGAGTTAAAAAATGCCACACTTTTGCGAGTGTGTAATTTGCGACACACGATTGAAAATTGCTCTTCATTTTATGTTTACCTACCTAGTGCAGTCTCTTGGGCCTGCAGTAATTTTTCAGCACGATTAAGGCACGTCATGTGCCATCCGAACAAGAAGTCCAGGTACCTGAGAAGTCAAAAAAATACAATTCAAGCTTCGGAGGAAAAAACCCACTCCTAGTCGGCGGTTTTGAGTTGCGATATCTTACCAGAAAACGTAGTGATACTCGTGCGGACTGTAGAGTTCCAACTCAAACCCAGACAACAGATATTGAATCATGATGTTTAGTGTATGGTACAACACCCATGAACCAAAACAGGCAAAGTGCTGACGCTAGAAAATACAGAAAGGAAAAAAAAAACATTAAGTCAGTATAAGTTTTTTCTTTCTTTGGTTTCTGGTCTTCAAAAACAAACAAAATGATTCTTGTCTTGGACTGGAAGAGCAGTTATATGGTTCCTATTGATAAGGTGTCTATTAAACTTTCATTAACGCAATTACCAATCAGCCAATCGCCAAAAAATTGAGGTCGAGGGAATGGCAAAAATGAAAGCAAAGAATGCGAAAGCAACGAAGCAAACAATCTTCGTTTGTTTTCGACTCAGTAACTCATCGCTCTAGTAATCACTTATTTTCAAAATTGTTCCTACCTGAGGCTCTACTTTGATTAACAAAGTATGAAGTTGCGCATCTACTTTGTCTGCCTGGAAATGAGAGAAAAGGGTCCTTTCTTAATCTGAATTACAATACAGCAAACCTTTTTCTTTAGTGTTAGTTTCCAACAAGTATTCCCCATACAAAACTTCGAGCAGTTTCGCGCCCATCCATGTAACTTCTAATCTTTTGCCTGTGGGCTATTAAAATTTAATCGATCGCATGAGGTATTTAGCTCACGAAGTATATAAGGTGACCTACTTCATCCTGAAGAGCAGCAAACTCCTCCAAAAGATGTGCCAACTTGTCTCTCTGCCGAGCACGATTGTGACCGAGAGCATGGATAATGGACTTCACAGGCTACCAAAAAAAAAAAAACCCAAACAAATAACAAAAAATAAAGTTGTGGATTTACAAGCAGTACGCGTAAGTAGTAGCGCTAACAATGAGTGGTAAGTATCACTACAATTCGCTGAAATCTGCAGTAAATGCAGCCCTATCACATAAGCGCCAAAAGAACCGATATGGCGTTCCTTCCTTTCCATGCAGCTATATTATTTTTGTTGAGAAGTGCAAATATGCTTCCGATGGCCACAAGAAAAAGGTACAACTAATAACAGACGTTAGAAAGTTACTTTCGTAGAGATCAAGACCTACCCTGAAAGCTCTGTTAATAAAACTATCGGCTAAGTCACTCGCTTTGGGGTTGGCACTGAGGGAGGATCTGAGGCAAAAACAAACAAACATATAAAAGCAACTCTTTATGAAAAGGTTCTCAGTAGGCTAGTTTTGTACCAGCAAATATGAAATATGAAAACAAGTGCAAGGTGGAATTTCATGACTGTCTATAGTCATGTTTCTGTGTTCACTCATTGTAACTGATTAAGTCATTGGGAAGTTTCTGTAGGTCATTATGTCCAAAATGATTGGAAGACTAGTAAATATGGTGCACGACGTGACCCGAATCGACTCAACCAAAACAATAAAGAAAGAATTCTTTTTTACTGTACATAACTACAAAACCATGACTTGTATCCCCCCCCCCCCCCCCCGCCCCCCTGCGTCGTAGTCAACATTGTGCTTACTTCTCAGCAATGGACGGCGGACTGTTAAATGCTTTGATTGCATCTCTGATTGTCTCGGCTCTTCCCAAAAGATTATTGTTGCGCCAAACAAGAAGCTGTACATGAAAGGAAAAACATCACGAATGTCACTCAACAAACGTATTTTGTTTGTAGCCTGTCAGTGACGCGGTATACGATGGCCTTGCGAGGCCAAAAGTAGGTGACTGACTACTGTAAGCGCAATCATGGCTGTGAAGCCTGTTGGACGGAAAACCGACCATAACGGGCTACTGTTAAAACCCTCCTCGAAAGCCTCTCCTTTCTATAGAAAACTGCTAATGTCAAATTCACTGAGACTGTCTAGTCTTTTGAAGTCATTTCCATGTTTTTTTTTTTTTTCTGTCAGGCACTTCGAGATGGGAGAACAATAAACTGTGTTTATCCGTGCCACTACCTTTAACTGTGCTCCAAAATTGACGTAAATTTTCAGTTTTCCATTCGCTACAAACTTCTGTCGAGGATTGCGAAACTTTTCAGGAACAATTCAGGAAAAGAAAGAATAATGGACAAGGATTTTGCGAGAACAGCGCTTCTTATTCCAAGTCAAGAAATACAACAGATACGTGCGGAATACTAAAAAAACTAAAATACTTCATAAGTATCATTTAAACAACCAAACTACCTGTAAATATGAGCGCGTCAAAACACACGGCCGTTTCTTGCTAAATTCTGAAACGAAGTCCTGCAACAACACACTGTAAGTGTTAAATTTGAAACGCTCTTTTACTTAGTGATCCGTCTAGACATCTTTTAATAAGGTAAAATTAATTTGTTGCTGTTGTTCATTTACGTACTCTGCAGATTGACCTTCACGACTACTGCACTTTTTCTGGCAAATAAACCATTGCCACAGAGTTTTTTCGCAAGACTGAGAGATGCCAGCGAGCACGAAAAATTGGGAAACAAATTTCAATGACACTATTACACGTCAGTCTGGTATTACTAGTCCCCTGAGGGAAGCACAGGCGAAAATTGTTGTGAAAGGGGGTAAGAAACCGTGGTGCTGCGTCGGTGGGAGAGTATAACAGGGTAATTTGGTATTATTAACTGAGTTGATTACATAAATTGGCCATCGTAAAGAGTTTCAAAGCTGACGTTTCGAGAGTTAGCCCTTCGATCTAACAAAGGCCTGACGCTCGAAACGTCAGTTTTTAGATTCTTTACGGTGGCCAAGTTACGTTATCAACTCAGCTGAGAATACCAACTTACCCTGTACTAATTTCAACTTCGGCGCAGACAGACCCTTTTCATGACAAATACTAATAACAGTAAAAATGATCCCCCTGAGGTGCTTATCCTCTACAGCTCCTGGTGTGACAGTGAATACGACTTCCAACTGAAGATAACTGATTGAGTTATAAGCATCAGAAATTTCTTGGCTATGATGGGTACAGTCACAGCTCAACAATTCAATGCAGTAATTTTCATGCAACGTTTTAAAAGTTCCACTTACAATTACAATGTGAAGCGACGCATAGTTCACTACATCGCAGATATGAAGAAATCTTTTGACCATTTCTTCGGTATAATCAATAGCCTGAAAGAAAGTAAACCTTTATAAGAATTTATATAATAAGCTGAAGTAGAGACGCAATTTGATCCGTTCTTATTAAACGTATAAAAGGACGTCTTATTGCAGCGTATAGATCACCCCTGATGAAGGTACTGGACGGGAGTGTCGAAACGTTGGGTCTATGAATTGTAACTTCTCGGTTACATTAATTAAATCTTTAAACCAGAGTAGCATCAAACCATGTCTGATTGTCCACCTGGTTGCCATGTGAACAGACGCATCGATGACGTCATCACTGACAACATTTTGCTTTTCCATGATGTCGCACATCTGTTTTTTGTCATAGGTCACAGATGACGTCAGACTGTGATAAGAATACCAGTGAGACACTCAGCTGCGCCTGTGTGACACTTTTTTTTATCTGACCACATTTTGACATCATCTGTGATCTTTTACTGCACAGACACATGGATTCTATTTGTTGAAAAATAAAATGTTATAAATCACACTCTTTGGCCAGACATGTAATCTCAATAGTTAATGTGGTGACAGATCTTACATCAAGTTTCTTTTGTCTGTGAATACCATGGTAGTTATCAATAAATATCCTTGCTTCTCACAAGCAGGACCTCACTGGTTTTTTTTAGTCGCGATTTCATCAAATTCTGATGGGATATTCAAACTACACATTTTAGCCAGTGGCGATTGGAACGGCAAGTAAATCGCAAAGTAACAGTATGTCAGCCTGATATGTAACCTAGCACTTATTCTTGAATCTACCAATTAAAACAGCGCAATGTATGCTTCTGTTTGTCCAAGCTAACAACTGCATGATATACCAGATGAAACACAATTTTGCATCTTTGTTAATTGAAAACATTTATCTATTATTTACAACTGTTCACCTGGTTTCGACCAAAAATGGCTGTATATCTCGGAAAGGATGGAGGTAAAAGTCTCTGATTGACAAGCGGTTCAAAACCCATTATACTACCTACAAGGACATCCAATAAATAAGAGTATGTGAGTTGTTCTCTGAGTCTGACAAGTCTGATACACATCTTTCTGTTACCAGTAAACTAAAAGTATCTAACTATTAACTGTTTGATGAACACAAAATAAATCTAACACCAGTGCAAAACGTATGTGAGAAGAAAAACAATTCAATTCAAATCATTTAGAAAGCATGATGGGATACCTTGCCTGTTATCACCCGTGGATATTGGTTGAACACCTAACTCTACAGTCTTTCTGATTGGTTCAATCAGAGACAATGCAGTGCTTAATGACTGCTTGCCTGAGGCCACACCTGAACCCTAAAAATTGTGGATTTAAGAGTAACAATTCATTTAAGTAGTGCACTCATCACCCAAGAATGGTGTGACACTTGCCATTTCCAACAAAAAAGTAAACAGGAATAAGACTAGTGTGTGCATAGCTACAAATTTTTCTTTGAGTGGTCAATCGAGTATCTCATGAGTGAGTCCAGCACCAAGAGAGATATACAGTCTTGAAAATAATTTTCATATCTATGTTGTGGTTCAATTTTATCCTTGATTCAAATTTTATTTTCCTTTGTTTCAAACTCATTATCCTACATTACAATACCCAAATACAAAAGAAAAGAAAATTTGAACCAAGGATAAAATTGAACCATAACATCTACAAGCAACCATGTAGCAACAACAAAATTTGATGATCTTTGATCAGAGAAGTGTGAAAGGCATGTGATATGTCAGCAGCTGATTAGCAAAACCAACCACACACAATTTTTTTTGCAGTTTACATCATGATTACATTTAAACAATGGAAGGTGCTGAAATATCAATTGGAAATAGCTAGCAAATGTCAATAATCAGTGCAAAAAAATAGAAAATTGTTGAATTATTGAATTTTAGCATTAAGATTCAACACACCTCTGACTTTTCCAGTGCAACTAAAGTGAGGTAAAATGATTTATAGAACTTTAATCTTGCTAAAACAGCTTCATACTCCTTAACTTGGCTCTGCAAGGAAAAAGAAATATTGAGAAACAGATTCTTAAACATACATTTTTATCATGATCATTTTTTCATTCCCACTCTAATTGTCACCATGAAAAGTGAGCACTATGACAATAAACATTACAGAAATAAACGCAGTTACATTTTTTTTTTAACACCAATTTGTAGAGTACACCATACCTTAACTGTATCTAAGTCACAGTTGGGTTCTTCTCTCAGTCTGGTCTTCAATGGCTAGAAAACAGATTTAAGAGACATACCTTAGGGTACGGTACAATGAACATTGTGCAGAGGACTGGGATTTAAAAAGCTCTGGTTTATGATGATGTAACCCTTT